AAAAAAAAAAAAAAAAAAAACTTAGGGAAAGGGTTATAGATAATGCAGCTTAGAAAATACCTTATTTCTTTTTGGAATTGAAAAATAATAATTGTACATATTTATGGAGCACATGGTGATGTTTCAATGCATATAATATATAATAATTGGGGGTAATTTTGTATCCTTTAACAAATCTCCTCCTATCCCTCAAAATATCTTATTTTTAAAGACCCTTGAAACAGCTCTGACAATTACACACACACTGTCATTAGCTCTTTCATAGGCAAAAGCCTTTGCAGATGAAGACGACATATATATACAGGACACGGGACAAGAGTGAGCCTCTGGGAACACATTTCTTAGAAACAATGAGCAAAATGATCATAACCAGTACTTTTGTTCAAATCAATTTATGCCTAAAATCTCTACTTCAGAAAAATTAAATCCATAGCTTTCATAACCTTTTAAGGAACTAACAAGTGACTAAGAAATAAGAGGAATTGTTCTTGAATATAAAATTTAGACTCACTCTAGTAATTCAGCTATTGTGTCTATCAACATTGTTAGGCTTTGGTCCTATTTCAAAGCATTATCTTTTACTAGAGAATTCTTTACTTTCCTGTTTTTCCACTTAACCCAGAACATTTTAAGCACTGGCCTATAAATCAAATTTAAATAAAAAATGAATAGCATAAAAATGCTTTCTGTCAAAACTGTTCATCATTTTCACAGGCAATGCAAGCAAATGTATTTTGTTCATATCATTCTGGCAAAAATGTGCTGACTGGGAAAAAAAGCCTACAAAATAAATGTGCCAACGAGGGGGAGGATAATCCTACCCCCAAAATGTGTCAGCTTGTAAAAAATAAATAAGGTTCCACAAAAGAAATATGTTGACTGGAGGGGGCACAAAATACTATGCTGTTATTTGTTTTTATATTTTTATGACACTCAACAGAGCCATGGATGGTGGTCACATTCTTATCTTTGACACAACTGTTTTTGGAGATCTGTGGAAGATAGTGTCGTACAGGGGAGAGGGCATAGGTTCATATATCCTATGGTTCTTGCAAACTATGAAGCACAATTTAAATTTAAGCCAACAAAATTAAAAAATTTGCTGTCTGGAAACAACCCAAATATCCACCAGCTGATGAATGGATAAAAAAAAATGTAGCATACCCAGACAATGAAATATTATTCAGCCATTAAAAGGAATGAAGTACTGATACATACTACAATGTGGGTGTACTTTGAAAATGTTATGCTAAATGAAAGAGGGCAGATACCAAAGACCACATAGCATAAGGTTCTATTTACAGGAAATGTTCAGAATAGGCAAATCTATAGACAGAAAGTAAATTAGTGGTTGCCAGGGTTGGGTGAGTGGGAGTAGTGATAGCTAAAGGGTATAGGGTTTCTATTTGAGGTGATGAAAATGTTCTAGAATTGACTGTGGTGATGGTTGCACAACACTGTGAATACAATGAAAACCAATAGATTGTACACCACGAACAGACTAACTGTATAATATGTGAATTATATTTCAATAAAGCTATTTTTAAAATTTTTCAAGACAAGTTTTGGTGCTGTGTTTAAGATTCATAAAAATCATCAACAGTTTTATGCCTACTGTAAAGAAAAACAAATCTTAAATCAGTCTTAATTCTATCAAGCTCTTAAATATGTTAAACACAATGCTCTTTTTTAAAAGCTTAGTACGATTATCAATGACTCTTTTATAGCAGCTATAATTTTAGAACATTAATTTTTTCACTAACCATATTTTGTCACTTAGGCAATTATTTGCACCAAGTTTCAAAATATTTGAAAATATCTGAAAGCCAAAGAATAGCTAACATCCACGAAGAGCGAAACATTCTTAGTACTTGTAAAGAAAAATGTTAGTCACTTAGAGAACAATGGCTTCTTATCCAGAGAAAGGAGGGAAAAATGTATTCAATTTGAAACCTTTCCTTTTAAAAATTCATTCTTGCTAAGAAGCTTTATATTCTTTAGAAGTTTTTTATTCACCTTTAGAGGAGAAATTCATATTTCTGGTCTTACTCTTCCTTGAGTTAAGAAGACATTTTGCTAAGGGTTTCTTATAACTTCAGAAGAATGATGCTGGATGCCCAAGATTCCTGGGCTCCTCCCCACCAACATCCAGTCTCCCAGCATCCTGCCCTTCCCCCTTTTATCACCCATTTTTTTCACTTGTTTTTGAGGCCTTAGGAGGGTAGGACTAGGATTTGTCCTGGTCACTGCTGTATCTGCACATGGCACAGAGTGGACACTCAAGATATACTTACTACATGGAATTAATAGCTTTTTTTTACATTGTTATTCATATACAGTAAGCTAATCTACCAAAAAAAGTTCCACAGAAATTAGAATTAACCTTATTGGGAGTGGGAAGACCAGCAAATGTCAGGTGACAAGCCACACCATACTTTCCTCTCCCCATTCTGGGGCCAGTGGGGGGACAAAGGAATATACGTCTGAGACACATAACTGCCCTCCTTCTCAGTTCATTCATGAGTTGCTAAGACTAGTCAAATAAACATGAAACAATGAAACAGGGAACGGGTTTCAATGTAATAGAACCATGAATTCAAAAGAACTGAGTGTGAATCGGGGCTCTCTCTCCCAGTCCAAATTGATCTTCAGGGACATTGGTAACTCACAAAACAGCCCACAGAACAGGGTATCATGCAAATCAAATGAAGAAGGGCATTCAATTGTGTTCTATTGAAGCTCACCCAAGGGACAATGCCCACAGTGATGGGGGAATCAACAAGAACAGGGAGAGAGCGAAGAGGGAAGGAGACAGGGAAGAGGGAGGGAGACAGGGAGAAGGAAGGGAGAGGGAGAAGGGAGGAAGACAGACAGGAGAGAGGGAGACAGAAGGAAAGAGGGAGACAGGGAGGAAGGAGGGAGACAAAAGGGAGACAGGGAGGAAGGAGGGAGACAGGGATGAGGGAGGGAGACAGGGATGAGGGAGAGAGGCAGGAAAGAGGGAAGGAGACAGAAAAGGAGGGACAGAGTAAGGAGAGACAGAGACAGGGAAGAGAGAGGGAGATGGGGGGAGGGAGATGGGAAAGAAGGAGGGAGACAGGGAAGAGGGAGAGTCAGAGTTCCTGAGGCTGCTGGAAGGGGCAGAGGTGAGCCTCTACCACCAGGAGGACTGGGTTCCTGCACAGTCACATGAACAACACTCAACATATAAAATAAATGATCTGAGAAACTTACTTAATATCGAATTTTCAGTTTTGAAAATAGTTCTTCTTATTCCCAGCCTCATTGTTCCTCCCAAATTGCCAGGGTTGTGTTCCGGCATATCAATCACCTTAGAAAACAAAACAAGTTCTGTTTTGCCATCTTGTAAAAAGGTCATTTCCCAAATTTCAAGCTTTACTTTTAAAGGGATGATCACTGTGTAAGCTTATTCTCCAAAGTATAATATCTGATCAGTCCTTTCACTGTTCCTGTTCAAATATGGTCATAATGTCCACAGTTCCTCACATTGTGCTCCTTTCTGTCTCTGCCTCTCATCTTTCATTCAAATCACTTGTAAAAAATTTATCAGGAGCATTTTGGTGACCTTTCTCCTGCCATTACTCAAACTGTCAGTTCCAGGCAACATTTACACTTCAAGTTCTGGACTTGTGAGATCTCCCACTTTGGTATTCATGTCTATGTCTCTCCTGTGAGAACACTCTTTCCACTGCCCACTGCAATCCCTAGAGATTTTCCATAAGCAAATCTGTCAGTCCTTGTGGAAAGGTATATCAAAAGAATCTATTTATAGACAACCATTAGAAGGATCCCTTAAAAAAAAGGAATATAATCTATTCCAGCACATTCTATAGGTAAGAAACCTAAGCAGCTCCCTTGATCTCTCCTTCTCCCTCATAGCCACTCCGTCAAGGCCTCCAGAGTTACCCCCTCCAGATTTCGTGCATCCATCTCCTTCTCTCCAACCTCTCCCCCAGGCTCCAGCAATGGCTCACTGACTGGCCACCCTACATTCCCATGGCCCGAGTCCACCCTGCTGGAGGTGGGCAGAGTGGTTTATCCAAATGGCAAATCTTAGTGTAGCATTTCTCCTGCTTGAAACCCTTGACCTCCTGGCCAGCCTAACCCTCCAGCCTCATCTCCCGGTCCTCTCTCCTCTCACCCTGAGTGCTGGTTCTTTCATTTCCTCAACTGAATTTTCTTCACTCCCACCAGAAGGACTTGACTCATACTGTATCCTCTGCTTGGAAAATATCCTCCCATTCCCCTTTCCTTTTTCCTGAATAAAACCATCCTTAACCCTGAGGTCTCAGCTCAACTAGCCAACAGTGGCATCTCTGGGAGCTTGGTATTTCTGAGAGCCATAGTCTGGTCAGGGTCCTTTATCTACTTCCTCGCAGAAGGAGGTTCTTCCCTGTCACTGTCTTCCTCTCAGTTTGTGTCTGGTGCGTGCTTTGTGGGCGAGCCTGTCACTCTTTGAGAGCTAGGGCGACTTTATCTTTATGATCACGCTACTGAAATTCAGAAACAGGTGATTTTTATGAAAAGCTTGTTCTGGTTAATCTGGTAATTCATCTGTTTTCTCAGTTTGTTCATTATGATCTCATGATTTTGTTTCATCTTTTTTCTTTTCAGTTGGTAGAACAAACTACAGTTGGATGAGTCAAGCTGTTCTAATGGAATTGCTCTCATAAACCCTTTCTTTTGTTGTTTTTTTCCATACCCTAACTGCCACATAGTGCTCTATAGGAATCTTTGACAACTGGAATTTCCTGAGGTAAAAATTTTCCAAGAAAATGTCTGAACTTATCAGTGTCCCTGAAGAACTTTCAAAGTCATCTGAACCCAGTGTCCCAAGCTCACTCCAAGAGTCACTTCAGGGAAAGGGTGGAGGAAAAAAACTCAATGACCTCCTTTGTTGGATAGAGTGCTCACTCTGAAGTGCTCTTGGCCTTGGCATCTCTTCCCTATCTTCTTTGGTTGGTTAATTATGGCTAGGTTAAGTATTACTAGAGTGAGGTGAGAGAGGGCATTAGCTTCCAGGTGATAAAGCTCAGCTGATTATAAACTCTCGGCCTCTCTATGTGTTTTCTAGGAAAGGGCAGATAACACTGCACTACCTGCCACAGATTCAGAGGAAGTCCTGAGTGTATTCAGAGCCTCAGCTTCCATTTAAGTTTAAGACAACCTGAACCACCTAGGCAGACCATAGCGATAACCCCCTGAGTTTTTGGTAGAAATGTACTGTGACTCTTCAGTTCTCTCTTCCTTACTGCACTGCCTCTGATTTTGACTCTAAGTCATATTCAAGTTGCACATAAAGTATGAAGCAGTTGTATATCCATGTTACGTTCTCTAATTGGGTCCCACTACCCAGAAAGAGTCTTTAAGTGTAGTTTATTCAGTTACTGGCAAGCTTGATATTCAAGAAATGTTCTGGTAGGAACCACTGAGACTAGAGTAAAATTACCCAACTAAGAACAGGAAACCTGCCTTACTGCTCACTTGGGATGAACTGACAAACACCTCAAGACCAGAAAACATTTCCAAAACTAAGGTGTAGGAGTGGGGAGGAAGAGAAGAAAAATACAGTGGGCACAGAGGCTGCCTAAGGGCATTCAACACCCCTTCAACAAAGGGGGAAGTCTGAAAATTCCTGAAAGAGCAACATGAGAAGATTATTTAGAAACATGGAGGTAAATGCCAGGAGAAAGAACTAGAAGAGTTGAGGGTAGTGGAGAGGAGGCGAGGATTAATGACTTTTTCATTATAGGCTTTTGGAAAGTGTTGGCTTTTAAAACTTTGTACATAATATTATACTAATGAAAATACAAGTATAAGTCACCAAGAGTGAAATGTAGTATTTAGGCCTTACACTAAGGTATTAGTTCACATTATCCCTGCTGTTCTCAGAAGTAATAAATACTACTTTCTCCTGAAATAACAGAACAGAAGGAAAACTCAAGGTTTAAGAGCCACGGTGATCCTCTGATTAAAGCATGCTAGCATAGGAACCAGTGGAGAAGGCAAAAAACGTTAACGAAGAGGTGGGGAGCAGGTAGAAATGGATCTCCACCTCCAAAAGTTGCCCTGAAAAAGGGCGAGAATTGGCAGGCAAATTGTCAGTGGATGGAGGGAACGAGAGGGCTCTGTCTCGGCCTGGCTTAGGAGACTTCATCTGGGAATGCCCATCACATACTCAAAGAACAACATGGCCAGGCACAAACTGGGGGAATCCCAACTGAAAAATGGGAAGGTCAAGGCACGGCAGACAACACTGGGCCTTTCTGCCCAAGCCTGGCACACCAGTTGCCTTGTAGTTATCAGATGGTCCCACAAGCTGGATCCTACAAGATGATGGATGGCTTCTTCTTGGGTTATAAGCACCCTGATTCAGCAGCAAAAATTAACAAAAGTGTCTTGGTTCCTTACATTCCTTCCACAAAAAGCCAGAGAGGAGTTTCAAAGCACGTCTATTTTATCATTACTGGGGCAGTTAAAGAACTTCAAATATGCTTTAGATTTAACCCCAACATTTCCAAAATACCCGATTTTGCATCTAAGGGGGAAACGTATCTTCTGTTGCAAAAGGATTGCCTTGGCCCCTCTAATTTGGCCTAAATGCCGCCTGTCATCTGATCTCCAGATCTGTCCTTTCTTGGAACCGAGCCATATAGCATTAAAAAAAGGATCAATAAGTGATAAAGCTTTAGGAGAGGTAAGTGTACCACAAAAGGATAAATATGGCACTAATTAACCTTTACTGATGTTTTCTGCAGTCCACGATAAAAGTGTAATGAGTTCAAGACTTTACTGCATCCCAGGTAACTTTTTTAAAAATTTTACAATTCAGGGTTAGGTATACAAATGTTCATTATGCAGGTATCCTTGTTGATGAGGTGTGCCCCCCTCCCCTGGCAGTTTCCCTCAATTGCCAATCCCTTTCTTATAGTATTACGATAGTTGTTCAAGGTCCGCTTATGAGTGAGAACATGTGATACTTGGTTCTTTGTTTCTGTGATAGATCACTCAGTATTATAGCCTCTAAGTCCATCCAAGTTGCTGCAAAGTTCATAATTTTGTCCTTATTTATGGCTGCGTAATATTCCATCATGTATATGTACCACATTTTAAAAATCCGTCTCAGGCATCTTACGCAACAAAGTCTAGGGAAGTAAGGTTCTCTTGCCATTGATAAAAGTCCTAAATGGCAGCATGCATGGGACCCATCTGATCCAGCCCTGGCAAGCCCGGCTTTCCTCACCTTTGAATAATTCACCTGGGGACAACGGGAAAGACTACTCTCCAGCAGGACATTTCCAGTCTCTTAGACAACACAGACAGTGATTCTCCCAGACTTTCTAGGGTGTTCCTCAAGTATTTTTTATAAGGATTCCCCAACTCATTCCTTTCCTACTGTGCATTAGGTTTTTCTGTCCATTTTTTTTTCAAGGCTGGCTCTGATTTTGACTCTAAGTCACATTCAAGTTGTACATAAAGTATGAAGCAGTTTCATATGGTTTTATATGCTCTAATGCTGGGTGGCACTGCTAGCTGTTGCAGATCAAATCTACACCCTTCCAGGTAGCTCTCAGGTCCCACCTCACTCAGAAGCCCAGTATAGTTATGCTCGTCTCATGTATTCCAACTTGTGGCTTCTATCTCAGCTAGACGGGGCTACTGCCCATGGCTCCTTTGTGGTAATTTGCTTCTCTCCTCACCATCCTACTACACACAGTTCACCTCTTCTCTACTTTTCCCAAGATGACTTCTTCCTCCCACTCCTTATGAGCTCCTGCTTCAGGGGCCCCCTCCCCTTATTGTCCCATAATGAATACCATGGTTATACTCATCCTACCAAATGAATAACCTATACAGTGTCAATTCATTTTCAGTTAATCCTTGTAGGAGGCTGAATAATGTCCCCCAAAGATGCCCATGTCTTAGTCCCCAGAACCTGTAGACCTGTGACTTTATGTGGCAAAAGGGGCTTTGCAGGTGTACGTTAAGGTTCTTGCAACGGGAAGATTCTGGGTTATCAAGGTGGGCCCAATGTGACCACAAGAGCCCTTAAACGAAGGTCAAGGTCAGAAATGTGATGATGAAGCAGAGATAAGAGAGAGATTGGAAGATGCTATGCTGTTGGCTTTGAAGATAAAAGGACAGGGCCATAGAAACTGGGAAAAGCAAGAAAACTATCTCCCCTCAACCCTCCAAAAGGAACATTACCCTGCCAACTCACTTTATACATCTCACTTCCAGAATAACTTTGTGTTGTTTCAAGCCACTGTGTTTGTGGTAAATTGTTATGGCAGTCATAGGAATTTAATA